AGAACACATAAACTAAATGTTTTTGATCAATCTGAAATAAATGAGTATTATGAAAATATTACCAAACAATATCAAAAGATAGAATCTAAAGTAGCAGCATTACAAGTTTGGTCGACCATATTAATGAGAAATTGACTGCGAATAATTTGCGCCATGTGGAATCTATTATTAATAATTTAGATCGTACCTTTACAATTATCTCGGATATAGAGAAAGCAAAAAATCAGAGAGTACGACATACAACCTGGAACGATTCAAAACCCTGGACCTTATTTCTAAATTAATAATGCTAATTGCTATTCATATTAAATTAAAATTACCGATTATAATATTAAAACATAACTTTTGGTTAATATTTTTTGTGACTTTTAAGTTACTTTCCTAGTTTATAAACAATTAAACTTTTAACATAAAATTCATATGAATATTTTATTATTAAACTAAATACATTTGTAAAAATTGTTAAACTTACTTGATATCAAAAATTAAGCCTAAAAAAAAAGTATACTAATCTTTAAAATTTTTTTATGCCACTTTACTAAAAATTTTTTAACTGTTTTTTTTATTAATATTATAATATGTAAATAGAATAGCTAAAAGCTTTATATTTTAGCTTGTTTAGCTAAAAACAGTGTTCTTATACTACCTTTTCTTTTGTGGCTTGCAATTGCTAGTATTAATTTTTCAGTTAAATTTACTGTACGGATATCGCACAATTGGAAACTTTACTGTGTGGCAAATAAATAAAAATAATAAGTAACTGTTTACAGGTGTGCTCACTACTTACAAGATGTCAATTTTTTCTATGCGTGCTATTCAAAAGAAAGTTTTGTCTCTGTGCATACAGATATTGTAGATCAACCATATCTGATATACAGGTCAGAGAACATGTGATAGTAAAATCGATCCTACATCCTGTCAAAATCCTGTGCATATAGATATTGTAGATTAACCATATCTGATATACGGGTCAGAGATCATGTGATAGTAAAATCGATCCTACATTCTGTCAAAATTATTCCTTTACCATTATAAATTTTATCCAACTTATAAAAAAAATTATTTAAGAAAATGTTATATCTAGTAATAGTTTGGGGTTGAGGTATTTGATAATGAAATGAATTATAAGGATATATATACGGATTAAAGCCCAGTAGCATAGTTGGTAGCATATTTAATAGTGTAGCTGGTAATATGTTTGGTTGTATAGTTGGTGAGACATAATTTGACCATTTGGTTGTATAGTTTGGTGAGACATAATTTGACCATTTGGTTGTATAGTTTGGTGAGACATAATTTGACCATTTGGTTGTATAGTTTGATAAGACATAATTTGACTAAAAGATGTAATTTGATTATGAAATGCAGTTTGATCATGAGATGTAATTTGATCATGGGTTTTGGGTTTTGTAGCATGAACCATTCCGAATATAGAATAGGTAGGCGGCATATCAATTGTAGACAAATTTCTAATTTATAAATATTACAATAAAATAAATAAATATATATATATTTCGATAATAATCAGGCCTACTAAAAAATTAATTGTAATTAATTTTTGTCATTTATCATACGATTAAAATCAATTAAAATTAAATAATTGCAATTTTCTTTTGTAGAGCGCTGCCCGGTATAACCTGGTTTTTAAATAGCAAAAAATCAAAAATCACATATCTGATATTTACAATCTTAATGGCAAATATGTATTATGTGTAAAATTGCAATTAATTGACTAATTGTGGCTATACTACTAATCAATTAATTGAGCTTGAAGCATTGCAATTAATTGCTCCCTACAGGGTAGGCCTGATAATAATATCATTAGTTTATATAAATTATATATATACTATATTATGAGCCCATAATGTTAATCGAGCAGGATTTAACTGGAGATGGTGTTCATCTTCAACATAACATGGTGTAACATGTTGTGAATATTTATATTTATCTCGAAGTTCCATAATAACTTGAGCTTGATTATACTCGTCTTCATTTAAATCTAATCCTTAGGTATATAACTAGTTTTTGATTTTTTTTTTTTTTTTATATATTTTCATCATTAGTGGTATCCTAAATAAAAAAAAAAAAAAAAAAATTCCAATTAGAACCAAATGATGCATTTGTATTAAAAAATCGTGATGCAATTTATAGAATACTGGAATAAAATGAATTGTTTAAAGACTTAAATAAATAGAACTAGATAATACAAAATACATGAGTGCCATTTAAATATCGAACTTGTACAACAGAATGCTAGAATATTCTAGTTATTAGAAAAATGTGATCTAGTTTTTATCAGTTGTACCAAAAATGTATAATCAAAACCTCTAGAATAATTATATAATCTGAGTTATATGTATATAAATTCTATTTTTTAATATGTATACTTTCTTTTGGCGGCACTTACTAATAACAAAAAAAAATATATATACTTCTGATTTCCTTTTATGAAATTGTTCTGGATTTTTTAAGATAATATAAACATACATCATTTTTGCCAAATTATCAGGTTTTTTATATTCGTCAACAAAACTTAAAAAATCCTCTTTATCATTTATGCTCATAGCTTGTCCTCGACTATTAACTTTATAAGTTATTTTATAATTATCATCATAAATAAATTGAAGATCTAAACATCTTCATATATGATTATTTAAACTCGATTTAAACGAGTAAAAATTGTTGATTTCTTCTTCTTTAAAAGTCAACCACTTTTCTGTCAGGGAACTAGTTTTTTTTGTATCAATAACAACTATTGTCTTTAATTCAGTCAAATGAGTTATCGTTAGTTCCGTTGTTTTTGTAGACTTAAATAAATTATTAAAATCGGTCCAAATAATGCAAAAGTATTAAAAACTCATGGTGAAATTTATCAAATAATAAACAAACATAAAAACCACTTACAGATCTAAGCAAATTATTATCGTTGGACTCAAATGATGCAGAGGTCGTGAAGAGAAACTTATTGAACGTCGATCGAGTCACTTCTATTTCACTATTTTAATCAATTATATATTGATTAATTATATCTTGGTCAACTATATCCTGGTCGATTGAATCCTGGTTGACTATATCCTGGTCAACTGTATCCTGGTCGATTGTATCTTGATCGATTGTATCTTGGTCAGTTGTATCTTGATTAATTATATTGTCTTGATTTATTTTTTCATCTTTACTTAAGCTAATTACATTTTTAACCTGATTATATCTTGAATTACATGTTGAACAAAGCGTTAAATTAAAATTTTTATCAAAGTTACTATTATATTCAAAAAATTTGCTTCGTTCTTTTAACCAAGCAACTTGAGCTAAACGAGTTGTGAAAATTTTATAACATCGATTATGAGCTTCTTGTCCACATTAAGTTCAAAAAGTGTTATTACAAGATGGTTTTATTTTTAAATCACATAAACAGTTTTCATTTTTTAAATCTTTAAAACAAAAAAGACATTTTTGGCAACTATAACAAGCACCAATTTTATATTTATGACATTTTGGCAAAGACATACTAATATTATGATAAAAGCTTCATAATGAATTTTAATTACTATATATAGTACCTCTATTTGGTACGGGGTTGGCAATAGAGTTCAATGAAGCTCAATAGAGCTGCGAAAAAAACCAATGATGCACTGAATGGAGCAAACAGATACTAATTTTTTGAGCTTTATTGGCTTCAATGCCAACCCTGATTTGGTACATATATTGTTTATGATAAACTACTAAGGGCAGTGTCATTTATTACCTGATTTTTTTTTATCAGAGGCATACCCCTCCTCCCCCCTTCTTATTATATATTTAATCAGATCTTTATATATAATTTTAACTTTTTTTACCCCCCCCCCTAAAAAATCACCTGATTTTTGTTACTCCCCTAACAATTACTTCAAAAATTTACTTAGTCGCTTTAGTATTCATGTGTATCCATAATGTATCGCTAATAAAAGGAGTTTGTAAAAAGGAAATATATTAATAAACAAGAAATAATCACTAATTGTTAAATGAATTTCACAGAATATGATGAATAAAGAGTAGCTACCTATGGTATGATCGTGGAATTCACAGAATTCATGGGATTCAGAAAAAATGATCTGCAAAATTGAATAATTCAACTAAATCAAAAATAGCAATAAATGATTATGCAAATAATAAAAATTTTTAAAGATTTTTGTATAGGCAAATAAATTTTGAACACATTAGCATATTTTCGAAAATATATAAAACTCAGGAAAATATTTTATTTCCTCTTCATATTTTCAAGTCATTTAATTTTGATAAAATTAATTCTCTTTATCTCCCGATACTTCAAATTTTTATCCAATTTCTCGATATTTTCCAACTTCATCAATTTCACTTTATTAAAATTTTTACCTTTTCTAATTATATTTCACTCTTTTACCATTTTCGATAATATTTTATTCTTTTACCTTTCTTGATAATTTTTACACTTTCACCTATTCTGAAACTTTTTTACATCTTTCGCATTAATTCGAACTTTCTCTATATTATTTACTTTCTTTTATTTTATTTTATTTTATTTTTATATTATCTTTACTTTCTTTTTTATTTTATTTTATATTATTTTTATATTATTTTATACAGTAATTTTAATTTTATTTTAATTTTATTTTATTTTTATTTTTATTTTATTTTTATATCTTTAAAATGTCTTAGACTCATTCACAAAAAATTGCAGATAAGCGCTGATTTTTCAGAAGTTTGGTTGCTGGAACTTATATGTCTTCAGATTCTCTGCAGAGAACTGAAGCACATTCTTCTGCTATTAGTCGCAGACCTTCGCTTATTACTCAAGATCCTTCAATTAGTATATTTTCTTTAAAATTTTTTGTATTTTTTTTCATTATTTCGTTCAATTCATTTTATTTTTTTTAAATTTTTATTTAGATAATGTAACTCTTGCTCAAATAATAAATAAGCTTAATGAGCTAATTGATAAAATTGATCGAATTAAAAGAAAGGATTTGAAATGGATGAAAGGATTTCGGAGGGTCTCGACACTACTCAAGAAATAGCATTTATTAAAGTAATTATTATTTATATATATTAATGTTTATAATTAATTAATTTAATTTAATAATATATAATTTTATAATAGCATAATGTAAAAGAAATCACCAAAAGCCTTATTGAGTATAATATTTATCCTACTAAAACTAAATTATGGCAGGCTATAGCTGAATATCTCGAAAAAAATGAACCTGATTTCTGGCAGGAATGAAAAGCAAAAATTGGAATACTTATTTTAAAGATAATTTTAAAGCTTCTGTAATTTTAATTCACTATTATGAATATTATATTTTTTGAAACTATTCGAATTATTTTGAATTCATTTTTTTATATATTTATATTTTCTATTCATTTTATTTATTTTATTTTTTCTCTTTTTAATTCTTTTTCATTATTTTTTGTTTTATTTTTTTTATTTTTTATTTATTTTTGCAAAATTTGCTTTTATATCTTCACCATTGTATTGTTTTTTTATTTTTTTCATTTTTTTATATATTTTATTTTTTTGCAAAATTTTGAATTTTCGAGAAATATTTCGAATTATTTTTTAACATATTGCATTATTTTGTACAATAATTTTTTGTATTAATCTATTTTTTTACATAACTTATAGCTCTTAAAGCAACACCGTTCATTGAGGAGCGCTTTATCTTTCAAAATTAAAGATGTGATATTTTCTGTCTTTGGTGAAGCTCAACTCGATTCGATCAACTTCAATACTTCTCCTGCTATCATAGCGGCGTAGAAAGCTTTCCAAAAGACTAAGTCATATTATAAAAAGCTTTTTATGCCAATTAGTGATGATGACATTAATAATACCTATATTGCAAGAATTTTAACCAAGGCATGGTCTGGTGTATGAATGTCAACTAATTTGAAAATGGCATATACAATCACAATATGTCAGATAATGTTGAGCGATCGCTATGATAAGTTGAAGATTGGTGATGATATCGTTAAAAATAGATTACAAAAAAATATTGTAAATATTTTATTAATTTTTTAATATTTTAAATTTTTTTAATATAATCTTTAAATCTTCAAATATT